GCTTCTTAATTATGCATTGTATGAATGATATACAAAGCCAAAGAAGCAAACTTGTTCTGATCTGAAAGTGGAGCAAAAGGAACGAACAACAGCTGTGTTGCCAATTATCCAGAAAAACATCTTGCTTTGGCTGCTGGGACTATTTCTCCTGATTTCTCCATAGCTTGGGTAGAAATGGTTTGGGTGTTTTATAGAGATCTGTTTTTCCTCCCTTGCTTCCTTAGGTCACCCCCAGAGTTTAGCATCGGAGCTGTCCAATACATAGATATGTGTTTGCATTTGCTGAAAGGGACAGAGATGCATGGGAATGAGAGACCTTTTCGGGAGGTTGTGGGTGTTCTTTATTTCCCTTAACATTCCTGGAATGTTTTGCTCAAACAACAGAAGCTTCCACAAACATTACGAGGAACAAAAATAGTTTACTATCTTGCCAGATTAATCATATGCTGCCTAATAAAAAAAAGAAGTGATTTTTGCAAGTCTGTTGCTACCTAGGGATGGGTTGTAGATTTTTTTAGCTGTATGGCCATGCTCTAGAAGTATTCTCTCCTGACATTTCTCCTGCATCTATGGCAGGCATCCTCAGAGGTTGTGAGGTCTGTTGGAAACTAGGAAAATTGGGTTTATATATCTGTGAAATGTCCAGGGTAGGAGAAAGAACTCATGTCTGTTGGAGCTCGGTGTGAATGTTGCAATTAGCCACCCTGATTAGCATTTAATTGCCTAGCAGTTTCAAGGTCTGGCGTCTTACTGCCTGGGGGAATCCCTTGTTGAGAGGTGATTAGCTGTCCCTGATTGTTTCTTGTCTGGAGTTCCCCTGTGTTTGAGTGCTGTTCTTTATAATTTATAATAATGTTATAATTTTAGAGTTTTTAAATACTGGTGCAACCTAAACAAAATCTGGCTACTAGAATTTAAAAACTCTAAAATTATGATAGTAAATAAAGAACAACACTCAAACACAGGAGAACTCTAGACAAGAAACAATCAGGGACAGCTAATCACCTCTCAACAAAGGAGATATGATAGCCATGTACAGTATAAATATGTGAAAGGAAGCCACAGGGAGGAGGGAGCAAGCTTGTTTTCTGCTTCCCTGGAGACTAGGATGCGGAAGAACGGCTTCAAACTTCAAGAAAGGAGATACCATCTGAACATTAGGAAGAACTTCCTGACTGTGAGAGCCATTCAGCAGTGGAACTCTCTGCCCTGGAGTGTGGTGGAGGCGCCTTCCTTGGAAGCTTTTAAACAGAGGCAGGATGGCCACCTGTCAGGGGTGCTTTGAATGCAATATTCCTGCTACTTGGCAGAATGGGATTGGACTGGATGGCCCATGAGGTCTCTTCCAACTCTATGATTCTATGCCAGCCACATGACCTTGGAGGTGTCTATGGACAACGCCGGCTCTTCAGCTTAGAAACTAAGATGAGCATCAACTCCCAGAGTCAGACACAACTGGACTTAATGCCAGGGGGAAACCTCTACCTTTACCTAAACGTGAATGCAGTTTGACACTACTTCAATTGCCATGGCTCAGTGCTTTGGGATCCTGGGATTTGGGAGTCTGGTGAGGCACCAGCACTATTTGATAGAGAAGGCAATAGACCTACAAAACTACAAATCCTAGTATTCCATGGCATTGAGCCATGGCAGTTAAGGTGATGTCCAACTGCATTAATTTTACAGTGTAAATGTACCCAGAGCTTTAAAAAGTTATTATTGTTATTATTTGATACAGAACAAGATGTAAACAGGAAACAAGATCACTATGCTGTCTTTTGCATTCAATCACATGTCAGACACTTCCCAAGTGTCTAGAACTGTGTGATATATCAGCGAATAGTGTATGCAGATCTGAGTAGGGTGGTCTTTTGCAGCTGACAGATGTTAATTTTGTCAGCACTGATTGTTTTTAAGTGCAGGCCAAGGTCTTTAGGCACTCCACCCAGTGTGCTGATCATCTATGGGACCACCTTGACTGGCTTGTGCCAGAGTCTTTACAGTTCTCGTATCATGTAAGCTTTTCCAGTTGCTTCTCATCAAGTCTGCTGCCACCTGGGATTGCAACATTGACAATCCATACTTTGTTTTCTTCCTACAATCATAAGGTCAGGAGTCAGTGCTTCAAAACACTGCCAGTCTGAATTCTGAAGTCCCAGAGTAGTTTGACATGTTCATTTTCTGTAACCTTTTCAGGCTTATGATCCCACCAGTTCTTTGTCGCAGGCAGATGGTATTTGTGGCACAAGTTCCAGTGGATCATCTGAGTGACAGTATTATGCCTCTGCTTATAGTCCATCTGTGAAATCTTCTTGCAGCAGCTTAGGATGTGATCCATCGTTTCGTCTGCTTCCTTGCAGAATCTACACTTAGAATCTGTAGTTGACGTTTCCATTCTTGCTTTGATGGTATTTGTTCTAATGGCTTGTTCTTAGGCTGCAAGAATAAGGCCTTCAGTCTCTTCCATTGGTGAGCCAGATCCATGTTTTTTCCTTGTCAATTTGGCTCTCAATTTTCCCCAGAAACTGTCCATGGAGAGCCTTCTTTTGCCAGTTTTCTCTTCTGCTCTGTATTGTATTTTTACGGGATACACTCTTTGCCTTTTGCACTTTAAAAATTTTTCTACTATTGACTTCCCTCAATGTTGGTTCTTGACTGCCTTTCACATAATCTGCCAGTGCGTGTTTCTCTTCTTCTACCGTTTGTTTCACTTGCAGAAGCCCTCTCTCTGCCTCCTGATTTTTTGGGCAGGTCAAGTCTGTCGACATCACTACACTGATGTAATGCGTAGTGGATTGTCATCAGTTTTCTTGTTTTTCTGTCCAGATCATCCAGCTCTGCTTGTGTCCAATTCACAATTATTATTATTATTATTATTATTATTATTATTATTATTATTATTATTATTTTATTATGTTTATTTATATCCCGCTTTTTCTCTCCATAAGCGCTAACATTAAAATAATTACTGTGCTGGTACGGCTGTACCAGGAGCCCCTACTTCATTTTCTTTCTATTGAGTGTTTGCATGTATTCCAAGGTTCCATGCATTTTGTAATAAGATGGTTTCCCTTGGTCAGCAATTATAGGGCCAATGACCTGTCAATCATCATTATGTTCTTTAGTTCCGCCCCTTTCCCCAGGGCTCTGGGTGGGAAAAGAAAGACTTGGGGCAGTTTTTCAGTTTTGGAAGCCCAGTTACAGGACGTGAGCTTTCCCCACCTGTAGAGAAGCTTCGTTTCTCACAACATCTGGGGGAAACAGCCCTAAAGCTTCTAAGGAATACAGTTTTACAGCACTGTAAAGATACAGATCCACATCATTTGTGGAGAAAATCCAAAAGGACTCCAGCTGGAAAATCTACAAGGTCTTGGCTGGTAGGTCTACTCGGGTGACCAGAAGCAATTGGAGCCGGGAGTAGGGCCCACACCAGCAGAGCCTAGAAAACAGATTGCCCGGGAGAGGTCAAAAAGGGTTTTCCTTGTTAAAGAAAGAAATAGTTCTCCAGGCAAGGTGCCCACCAGTTGATTCAAAGCCTTGAAGCATTTGTTTAATTTGTTGAAGATCTAAGAAGTATTGGATTGTTTGTTGAAGACTTAAGCAATAATAAAGGACCTTTCAAGCTTCTAAAGACTCTGTATAGGAAAATCCTTAGGGCCTCTCAGTCGAGGCACCCTGGCTTCCTGTCCTGTTCAAAAGCCAACTACTATAGCCCAGCGCGTGACAGCACAATTACAATACCATTTAAAATATATAGATATTAAAGTGGTATTAAACATCATTAGTATTAAAAACACTTCATACTAAAGCCATAAATCCAAGTTACTTATTTGGATCACAATGCCAAGAGTCCCTTCCAACCAGCATGGGCTTGGAAAAAAGAAGACAAAGAAAGTCACTTTTCCAAACAGCGTCAACAATTCAGATGCTGAGTTTTGCCTTCGAAACTACGGCTTTCACACTCTGTAGGCTTCAAAGAAGGATCTGGCTAACTGCCATTGGAAACTGGATACTAGATTAAATTACTCCTCTGCATGACTCTTCTTTTAATTTTTTATGGAAGAAGCAAGCCAGAAAGAGAAGGAAAAAGTATCCGCTGCCTTAAAAAGGAGCAAGATGAAGGAAGAAGCCTACATCTGGAGGATCACATGGCCAAAACTAAGGCATCTGAATGGATAGGAAATGCAGACAGGTTGGAAACCCATCTTCCCCGCTCCCCTCCCGGGGCAGAAGAACATGAGTCTTGTAAGGCTTTCCGCACGCGACGCAAGCTCTTGAAGAGCGGAGCCAACGGCTGACATTTCGGGACCGGTTAAGACTTTCCATGTGTGACTCAGTTCAGCTGCCTCAGCTGGCTGAAATCTAGGGCATTCAAAGGACAACCCAGATGGGCCATCCAAG